ATTTAATGATGATGAACCCCACCAAATGATAAATTAGTTTTCATCTCTTTTGAGGCAAAAGAACTAATATTCTTAGCCTAAATAATAACTTGTTTTAAATTGTTATTTTCTTTTTCTTTTGTGAAATTTACTGGAATAAATGGAATATTTTACTTTGAAAGCTATGTGTAGTTTGAACTCAATCTTATACAGTTATTCCTGCCCAATTATTCATCTGTCCCTCTACTCACCCTGATGGGCCTGAAATAAATATTAACATTAGATGTTTTCTGTTTGAAATTTTTGGATAGTATTTTCATTTATGCTTTCAATATTTTTTTGGTATTACATGATTTTTAAGATAGGAACATATATCACCATGGTAAAATTGAAACAGTAATTACTTTTTTGATTGTTTTTTCTAAATTGGTACTATGCTTCTTATATTTCCCCAACACTTACCAATCTCAGATTCTGATCCAAATACACCTCACAGTACTCTTCATTTCCTGTTTGTGTCCCAGTTGTGGGAGAAACGCAATGTTCCAAAATGAGAGAATCAGCCTATGTCACATCTCCCCACAGTCATCCAACAGAGTGATACAGAAACCCCCAACAATGTACATAGGGAAAACAGTCATGGCTAGGTCTTTCCACTAGAGGCCTGGATGGAAACTACAGGCACTCGGAATCCCACATGTGGGGGTTGTACCACAACTGTGACACACTAACACACACAAACTGGATTTACTAGAAGTAAAGGTAGCCAAACCATTCAGGTGTCTTCCAATCAACCTCTCTTTTTCTTTCTAACTCTATCTCTCCCTCTACTTCACCCTTTTGAAGCAAGCTAAATAGTCCTGGTAGTGGGTGTGAAGTGTGGTAACGTACATTTAAAAGGCACAAGCAAATGCCTCTAAACCTTATTTGGCATAAATGTTACCTCAATAAACAATAATACAATGTTTTAAAGCATAAAGTTAAATCCTACTAGATGACTTGAAAGAATGAAAGAAGGGTGGAGTTTTGAGTTGAGAGGGGGAAAAGTAAATAATATTATGACTTAGTATAGCCTGTACCCACATTTTTAACTGGGTCAGTCTGCTTTACCATTGACGTCCAACAATGCATTCTGGTCATAGCAAGCTTATCTGACAATTCAGAAAATGGTAGCTGTCCATTCTTTGCTCGTTCCATAGCAGAAGTCAGGGGTTTTGTTTTGTACAGGTCCTCCTCCTGCCTTCCATCCTAAGGAGTGTGTATCACAGCAAAAGGAGTATAAATCCAATTTTACAACCATATCCAATCAGAAATTATCTGGTACCACTAGACTAAGCTATCTAAGTAAACATCAATAAAAACTATATATTTAGATTCTGGAATATAGGGTATTTCATAAGTTACATATACAGTATTTCTTGGCTTCAACTGCAACTCTTAATTAATGTCTCACTTTTGACAATTCTCTTATTATGAAAATGAACACAGTTAGCTTCTAGATAATGTGCAAGCAGACATGACCCTCCCTGGAAATACTAACTCTGAAAACATTAATAAATCAGAATTTATATCTGAAAAATAAAGGTATTTTTGAATCTGGGTCGTGATTATTTAGTATGTGCTCTGCTAAATACCAACTGCACAAGGTTTTCTAAAGAGGAAAAAAAATAATTTCCCACAGACCAGTCACCTTGGGAAATGTTGCTTCTCCATTCCCTTTTGAACACAGTGTATGACTTGAGAGGTTCTGCCATTAAAACAAACAACAAAAGTTCAAAGTTGTTGAACTCATTCCAAACCTATTTGGTCACGGAATCTATTCTTTTTTTCTTTAAGATGAGAAATTGAGTTTTTATTAAAGTTATGACATTCTGGTCATTTAAAAATATATTGGCCCTCCCTGGTGGCGCAGCGGGTTAAAGAACTGCACTGAGAAACTAAAACCACTTCCACATGAGTTTGATTCCTGCCTGCCCCGGAGGTGACCACATGGTGCGGCAGACCTCTCCTGGCCCATCCGCTGCTCCCCTTAGCAGTGTACTTCGTCAATCTTCCTGTTCTGCTCCCCACTCTGTCTCTGGTGAAGCCTCTCACCGCCCCTGAGCCTCTGGCCTTTACCCCACTTCTGTATGTACAAATAAAATAAATCTTTAAAAAAAATAAATAATAAATAAAAATATAACTAAGAAAATACATGCTACACAGAGTAAAACAAATACATCCCATGAAAGACTAATATCTAGAAATATACAGACTTACAACAGTATTCAGAGACAGACACCTGGAATCTATTCTTTATGTTGACACCAACATGTCTTCAAGTTGATAATCCTGTATATCTTTAATACTCAATTATTCTGAGTCCATGAAATAATCTAAGCTCTTACCTTTAAAGGTTGGTTTATCCACTGCACAGATAATAGCTCAACATGCACAGGCACCACTTCTTGGCTATGAATCAAGCTCACAACAGCTAGTAGTAACATTTGGAGACTCTGTGCTTAGAGTTTCATGTCTGTACTTGAGAGGTGTAGAGAATTGTGAGCAATGTTCAGAAGCAGAGACTATTTGACCCAATACTCCCTACAAGTCCCTTCTTGGTCTCTCATTATCACATAGCTTCCCCAAAACCCAACTTCCCTCTTGCTATCTCAAGTTTACTATGCAGGCTCAATCCTTTCTACTTCTGACTGAAATTACCCTGCAGAAAAAAGACCTAATCGGAAGTACAACGTCATTTGAAGGAAAGAAGTACGCCCTAGGGATAAGCACTCTAAATGAACTGGATAAACTACTCAAAACAATATGGTGGAAAATATCTCAGCATTTAAGTATGCAACTATTGTGTAGGGTCACTGAAAAACATAAATCCAAGCAAACTGTACTATATTCTATTATCTGTGCAATGGATAAACCAACCATTAAAGGTAAGAGCTTAGATTATTTCATGGACTCAGAATATTTAAGTGTTTAAGCAAAATGGGCTACACCTTTAGTACTTACTTAACAAATGCTTATTGAGTACCTACTATTGGTCAGACACAATTGTAGACACTGGAGATAAAGCAGTGAAGGAAAGCTGAAATACTAAGCTACCAACAATCCCACAGAACTGACTAGAAAATTGCATAAGATCAATCCATATAATGACTTTGAGGAAAACAGTTTCTCAGTGAAAGATGGCTGACTTCAAGGGAAAATTCAGAATCACCTTATAAGGTACAATGAAAGTTTTTGCAAATTTAAGAAAGTTATGGTAAAAGCAATGTATTTATGTTGTATCCATCATTTCCCAGGCAACATGCTAAATGCTTTTACATACGTACATCTGAATGTTACTTAACTCTCAGAGCTATCCTCTGAGTTCAGTTTTAAGCTTCATTCTACAATTAAGAAACTGAGACAAAGACAAAGCTGGAGGTCAAACTTCTGTAATACAACTGATTTACAAATTCATACCTTTCACATAATAGTGAGATTAGACTTGAAATTGAATTCAAGGTCACTTCAAACTAACACTTCCAATGTAACTTTATAATGTCAGATAAAAAGACATCCTAAAGCATGAGGTAGAGAAATGGATAACAACATCACATCACAAGACACTCTTTTCAAATTTAGGATTCAAACTTCACAATTTTAAAACATCTTATAGAACTACAGAAAAAAAAAACGTATACTGGCATAAAGACAGATATACAGATAACAGTCTAGAGTTGAGAATGCAGAAGTTAAACTCTCACATTTATAGTTAGTTCACTTTTGATAAGGGGCCAAGTCAATGGGGAAAGAATAGTCTTTTCAACAAATGCGGGGGCAGTGGACATTCGCATGCAAAAGGATGAAGTGGGACATAGGGCCCTACCAACTACATATAAAAGTTTCCTCTAAATGGATCAAAGACCTACATGTAAGAATGGACATTACATAAATCTTAAAAGAAAATACAGTGGTAAAAATTTACCTGACCTTGGCCTAGGTCTGGATTAGGTTTAGATATGATATCTAAAGAAAAGGCAACAAAAGAGAAAAATAGTAATTTGGTCTTCATCAAATTTAAAAACTTCTATGCTTCATACAGTAACATCAGGAGAATGAAAAGATAATCCAAGAATGGGAGAAGATATTTGCAGATCATCTAGCTGATATGGGTTTTATTATCCATGATATATAAAGAAGTTTTATAACTTAACAATAAAAAAATCCAAAGAACCCAGCATTTTAAGTAGGCAGAGGACCTGACATTTTTCTAAAGACACATTAAAAAATGCCCATTAAAAAATGTTCAACATCAAAATGTCTACAAAAAGATACCACTTCATACTTCCTAGGATCGCTACAGTAATAAACAGATAGACAAATAAAAGTGTTAATAAGGATGTGGAGAAATTATAACCCTCACACATTCTGGTAGCAATGTATACTTTGGAAACAGTCTAACAGTTTCTTAAAATGTTAGAAACAGTTATTACAATGAGAGGCAATGGTTCTATTGTTAGGTATATACCCAAGAGACTTGAAAAAACATGTGAACATACAAAAACTGTACAAGAATGTTTATGAAAGCAGGGTTTACAATTTATAATAATCAAGAAGTAGAAAAGTCCAAGTGTCTATCAACTGATGAATTCAACTTTTTTGTTTAAAAAGTAGAATATTTGGCCCTCCCTGGTGGCGCAGCGGGTTAAAGCACAGCACTAAGAAGCTAAAGCCACTTCTGCATGAATTTGATTCCTGCCTGCCCCAGAGGTGACCACATGGTGCGGCAGACCTCTCCTGACCCACCCGCTGCTCCCCTCAGCAGTGTGCTTCGTCCATCTGCCTGTTCTGCTCCCCACTCTGTCTCTGGTGAAGCCTCTCACTGCCCCTGAGCCTCTGGCCTGTACCCCAGTTCTGTATGCACAAATAAATAAATCTTTTAAAAAAAGAAAGAAAGAAAGCTTGCTTCCTCTCCCTGCTCTTAGCCACAGGAGGACACAAAGAGAAGATGGTCACCTACAAACCAGAATGTGTACACTCACCAGACATAGGGTCTGTTCACACCTGGTCCTTGGATTTCCCAGCTTCAAGAACTGCAAGATACAAGTGTTTGTAGTTTAAGCTATCAGAACTACGATAATTTGCTAGTCGTCCATACTAAGATATCAGACAATATTATTATTCAGCTATATAAAGGGTTGAAACACTGAGTCATGCTACAATGTGGATGAACATTAAAAACATCATGCTAAGTGAAGGAAGTCAGACATAATTACATGATTCTAATTATATATAAAAGGTACACAATTAGAAAATCCAGAGAGGCAGAAAGTATATTAGTGTTTGCCAAGACCTGGGGGTAGAGGAACATGGGGAATTATGAGAATTCTTTTTGTGGTGATGCAAATGTTCTGGAGTTAGGTTGGACTGGTGGTTGCACAATTTTGTGAATGTACTAAAAGAATATCACTGACTTGTACGTTCTTAAAGGATAAATTTTGTGGTGTGTGAATTATTTATCAATAATAAAAATCCTCCCCTCCTTAAAACAATCTTCGAATCAAAAAGAATCAGATATGTAGTTATCCACCTTCTACCACAAAGCCACTAGCTTTGATACATATTCACTTTTGTCGAATCAGAAATGCGACAATAGTTTCTAGTCCTAAGATTCAATAAAGGACCATTCTACAATCTGAAAGAGATGAAGATACTCCAAGAGGAAAGTTTTCAGGACTCCACCATGACTCACTTAAAATAGCATACTCCATTGTAAACAAATGAACAAAATAATTTCAACATGTGTGCCTACCATTTCAGAGCATTGCACATAAACCTTCTGAATCTATGAGCTCAAGTACACTCATGAAAAGGAAATAATGAAATAACAAAAGTCAAAGGCCAAAGTAAACTTCAGCATGTGGAAGACCAATGCAAATTATGACAAGTCTCCACATTAGTCACCTTAGAACCCACAAAAATAAAGAAGTGCCTCCTCGCTTCTTGACTAGAAATGAACATGGAGTCTTCTAAGATCTCAAAGGCTTTCTTCTATCTGTTGGCAGTACCAACTTAGATCCCTGAAGGCCTATTTATAAGCAATCGGGGATCTAATTAAAAACCTTACAGAATGACTAAAAGCCAAATGTGGATGTTTAAATGACCTTCAAGCTCCAAACATTGGCTGATCTTTGATCAGTATGCTTGCTTACACATAGCAATGACTCAGGTCCACATTTTAAAACAAACAAAACAAAAAGTTATTACAACTTTAATTCTCAGAAATACCACATTGTAGGTTAAAATAGACAAATATGTGGTGTAGGCACATACTCACACAAGTCAACGCATGAAAAGCCAAAAGAATAACGTAAGCTAACAAAAAGGCTGGACTCTACTGTCTGCACTCAAAAGCAAGCTACACAGGGCAAGCCCAGATATTCCAACCTTTGAGAATTATGTTCCACAAGGAAGTAATAAATCAGTTGTTTGAAACTCAAACCACATTTTTTAATAGAAATCCATCAACTGTGGTCACATACCAGGAAAGCTGAGAGAGACCTACACAATGGACTGAGGCAGAGTGGTTATGTCACTAATAGAAAGGGAAAACACCTTTAAGTTCAAGTCCAGAACGTGGCTTATAGTGGCAGCATGCTGCTACAGCACCGGGAAAATGGGGGCACACATCTGGTCCCATGGCCTCCAGTTATCTAAATCAGTCAACAAGTACAGGCATGGGTCCACAGCAGGAATCTCAAGCCACTCAAATGCAGACATGAATATTTCACAAGGGATCTGTATAAAAGGGCTTCTGTGGCTTCATGCTACTCTCCCATAGTTCTAATTTCAGTAGAGTCTGCTTATGTGAAAATGAAAGTAGGCAACGGAGTTCATAGGATTTTTAAAGAACATTTTGTTGCAGTACAGCATTCATATAAAAAGTGAAGCTGCTGGCTTTAAATATATATGTGTTACAGGGAATATACACGAAAAGTAGAACCTTTCACAATGTTGCTTGTGTCAGTACAGATTCTGATTTTCATTACCATTGTGTCTGACACGACACAGAGGCTGTGCAGGTCAGGCACATCAAAGACATCTGTGAAACCTCTGCACTTTTAACAGCATTACCAGTGAAGATGTAATTTCTTTTTTTAACCACCCTGAAATAACTTACCTATGCTGTGATAGGGACAAATGGGATTGCACAGCTTCAGAAAAGACATTGTTGGTGAGATACAGCAATAGATAGAAAAATAATAACTATCCACAAACTCTGGAGTGCCAAGTATTATAAAGATTCCCAGCACAGCACGAGGCCCAGGGAACAGCACAAATTGCTGTTAGAAAGGCAGCAGCTGCCCTTGTCACAGGATGGCCTGGGGCAATTTCCCTCTTCAAGCTTTGATTTCCTCAACCAGGAAAATATTTTCACCCAGGGAATTGTGTGGCTGAGTAATCAGAGTGGCAGGGAAATTAAGCTTTTGGTGGATACCTACGGGCCTCTGGAACAGGTTTCACAAATACATATCACACATTAAACAATTAAAAGTAATATGTTATGTGACTCATCATTACAATAAACCCCCAAAGAGAGTTGGGAAATGTGTGATAATTCAGGTTACCCTCCAAGCCCTCTTCCCACCATCTGCCTCCTTGTCTCTACAGGCTCTCAGCCACTTCCGCTAAGCTGCCCACCTGCCCCCACCACTGTGACATCATTCCAGCCTGACCCCTGGCTCTGACTCACAGTCTTGCTGTAAACCCTGCTATTTGTGCCTAATCCCCCAGTTCTGCTTAAGGTTTTCAGGTCAAGGCTCGCTGCCCTCTCACCCCCAAAAACCTAACAACTTTCCAAGCTCATGCTCACTGACCAAGCTCATGCTCACTGCCCCAGAGCTTCTTGGTAAAAGTGAAGGATGATATTTCTTATGAAAAACCACAGGGTTAATTCTCAATACAAAGTCAGTTATTAATTGTAGGTCAAGGCAGAAAGGAGAGGGTTGGAGGCAGGCTGAGTTTTAGGTTTAAGAGCAGAAATAAAAGGTAAAACATACAAGTAAGATCATCAGAGATATTAGCTCCTCTCCCACTCCCCACACACACAGTATCAAAGAGGAGACCAATTAAGCAAATTCGCCTTCACTTTAGGGACATCAAAGCTAATCCTTAGAAGATGGTTTCTGTCAATTGTGACAGATTATCAAGAAAGGGTCTTCACTATTACCTCTTTCTTTAATAAGGCTTCCAAAGAACTGGGCTCATTTGCTGAATTATCTCTGCAGAGTGGGTGACTGATAGTCAGGATGAGGTAACAATAAGAAGGCATCCTCCTCTCTTCCTTCCTTCTTTCTAAGAACTGACCTCTCATTGACCACTGGGGTCATCCAAACCAACAAGAGCCACTGCACTGTCCAAGCTGAGTCAATCAGATTCTTAGTCCAGAATCTGGAAGGTAAATACAGAGGTGGAGGTCAATGATTGGGGCTGCTGGGGGAACTATTTTTAACTATGTAGAGGAAAAGCAGAGATGAGAGAAGGGACTCATAGGGCAGTGGACAGAGAGAGACTGACAGACAACTGGAAAGAGGAAGACCAGAGACACACAGAGAGAGAAAAGCAGAGTGAGACAGACATAACATACACAAGCAACAGACAGGACTAGAGGCAAAGTAACAGACACACAAAGAAAAACAACTCACCCCACAAGGTGGGGGGGCGGGGTACGCAACATGGTTCAGGGAAAGAAGACCTTAAAGGAAGTCTGCCCTGTTTGAGCCCTGCAGGTACCAGCTGGGCTTCCTGGAGGACTCTGTCCTCCAAACTCTCCTTTACCTGATCAAGTCTCAGATACTACTTCTATCCATGAAATTAAGAAAAATGATTTTATTTTATATATATTTTTAAGATTTATCTTATTTATGCACACAAGAACTGGGGTGTAGGTCAGAGATGGGGAGTGAGAGGATTCACTAGAGACAGAGTGAGGAGCAGAACAGGTACACTGACCAAAATACACTGCTGAGGAGAGCAGAGGATAAGAGAGGAGAGGTCTGCTGTGCCATGTGGGTCAGCTCCTTGGCCAGGTATTGAACACATCCAGCAGTGGTAGCTGATAGTTTGATAGTGCTGAGACTTATCTCTTTGCACCACAAGGGAGACTCTAGAGAAGTTATTTTAAATATCAATATCAATGGGAGGCAGTATTGGCAAATTCTGACAAATATTGCTGGAGCCATATAAATTGGTAAAAAGAATTAGGAAACTTATCAACTTAGAATATTCTAAGATATTCTTACCCTTTGGTTCAATATTTGTAATAGGGGAAAAGTGAATACAACCTTAATACCCAACAGTAAAGGAAAAGGTAAGCAAATTAAGATGAATATATTATTTCAAACAATGAATGATACTGCCTCTAAAATATGTGTGCAAATGATTCATAGGAAAAATGCTAATTATAAAAGTACATAGACTTACATAAAAATGCACACTGAAGGTACAGTAAATATCCACAGAGATGACCAAGGGCTACATTTAGATGACAAATCAATAGGTTCCCCCCGTTTCCTCGTAATTTTCTGAATTTGGGGCATTTTTTAAATAAAAAGAATAAATCAGAGGTATACATTTGATCACTTAAAATGAGTGAGATAAAAAGTAGTGAAGGCCTCACCCCATGTCCTTTTGTTCTTATTGTTCTCTATTGACTTTTTTGTTCAAGCTGACCCTTGAACAGCATGGCCTTGAACAGGTCCACGTAAACACAAATGTACTTATAAACAATGCCATAAATTTACTGTATTGCTTAATACAAACAATACTGTAAGAATATTTTCTCTCCCTTATAATTGTCTTAAAAACAATGCCTTTCCTTTGAGGTTACTTTAATGTAAGAATTCAGTATATAGGCCAATCCAACATGGCTTCTTACATAAAGTGACCACCTCAAAGAACCACCGCCACCCATGTAAGCATCTCTCCGATATTGTTATTTATTTACTGAACATTTTCTCCATCCCTCCCCACTGTGCAGTAGGCTGGATTTAATCAGTGCTGATACTCAGGTGGGCAACCGATTATATTTTTT